AATTGGATACTAGTTGAATACATTAGAAGGAACGTTATTCAATTGGATACCAGTTGAATACATTAGAAGGGACATTATTCAATTGGATACCAGTTGAACAAATTAGAAGGGCCGTTATTCAATTGGATACCAGTTGAACAAATTTGTAGGACATTATTCAATTGGATACCGGTTGAATACATTAGAAGAGACGTTATTCAATTGGCTACCAGTTGAACAAATTAGAACGGATGATATTCAGTTGGATACCAGTTTAATACATTAGAAAGAACGTTATTCAATTGAATACCAGCTGAATACATTAGAAGGGACGTTATTCAATTGGATACCAGTTGAATACATTATAATGGACGTTATTCAATTGGATACCAGTTTAATACATTAGAATGGACGTTATTCAATTGGATACTGTTGAATACATTAGAAGAGACGTTATTCAATTGGATACCAGTTGAATACATTAGAAGGGACGTTATTCAATTGGATACCGGTTGAATACATTAGAGGGGACGTTATTCAATTGGATACCAGTTGAATACATTAGAAGGGACCTTAATCAATTGGATACCAGTTGAATACATTAGAAGGGACATTATTCAATTGGATACCAGTTGAATACATTAGAAGGGACGTTATTTAATTGCATACTGGTTGAATACATTAGAATGGACATTATTCAATTGGATACCGGTTGAATACAATAGTGGGATAGTGGGATGTTATTCAATCTGATACCAGTTGAATACATTAGAAGGGACATTATTCAATTGGATACCAGTTGAATACATTAGAAAGGACATTATTCAATTGGATATCAGTTGAATACATTAGAAGGGACACTATTCAATTGTTTACCAGTGGAACAAATTAGTAGGATGTTATTCAATCAGATACCAGTTGAAGACATTCGAATGGACATTATTCAATTGGATATCAGTTGAATACATTAGAAGGGACGTTATTCAAGTGGTTACCAGTGGAACAAATTAGTAGGATGTTATTCTATTCCATACCAGTTGAATACATTAGAAGGAACGTTATTCAATTGGATACTGGTTGAGTACATTAGAAGGGGCGTTATTCAATTGGATACCAGTTTAATACATTAGAATGGACGTTATTCAATTGGATACCAGTTGAATACATTAGAAGAAACGTTATTT